CAGCACGCTCCTTCAGATATCTTTCATGGCCCAGAACCTGCTGACCCCGTACTTCAATCAACTGCGAGAGGGTGTGTCGAGAGTGCTCAAAAGCGGACAAGTGCGTCCGTCCTTTGCCCTACTTGGCCTCCCCTTCGGCGGTGCTGGCCGCGAGTTGCAGGCGCAGGGCATTGACTTTGCAGTGAACGTGCCAACCATCCTCGTCCCACCCGTCTGCCCATGGGCGTCCTCCTTTATCCCACCGCCGTTCTACTTGGCGAATCCGCACAACATGACCTTCCTGGACAGGCTTCTGGTCATCGGAGGCAACTCACTCTTGAACTTTGGGCGACATCTGGCAGTGCTTGCAGGCTTTCAGTTTTCATTCATGCCAGACCTCAGCCCGGACCTTTGGAGGGGCCGCCTTGCATTCGTGAACAGCATCCCGGGTTTTGACTATCCGCAGCTGCTGCCGCCTCTGGTGCAGTACACGGGCCCGGTCGTGGATGTAAAGAAGATGGAGCCCTTCCCAGAAGAAGTGGAGTCATGGCTCGAGGCTGTGCCCGAGGGAATGCCAGTCGTTTATGTGAGCTACGGCACCATGGTGCGGCTGACTCCCGAGAGGGTGGCTGCGACACTGCGCACCCTGACGTCCGCAGAGCACTTCACTTTGTGGGCTCTGCCCAAAGCACAACAGGTCGGCTTGCCAGAGACTTTGCCCTCGAGTGTCATGATCCACCACTGGATCCCAACGGCACGGACACTGGCGCACCCCAAGGTGAAGGCCTTTGTGTCCCACTGCGGTGGAAACTCGGCTGTCGAGAGCATGGCCATGGGCAAGCCGCTGATTGGCTACCCACAGTTTGGGGATCAGATGGGCGTTTGCCAAAGAATTGCGGACGCTGGCGCAGGGATCACGGGGCCGCAGGGTGGCTGGGTCCAGGCAGCGGATGTGCACCATGTCCTCTCCCAGCCTCGCTATGCCATGCGGGCACAGACCATGTCTCGACTTCTGGAGAAGTTCGGAGGTACATCTCGAGCTGCTGACCTGCTTGAGCTGGCAGCTGCAGGTGACTTAGCCGTGCTGAAGACTCCTCTCGAAGGATCTTCTAGCTCCGGCTTCTTCATGTCAGGCTATGACCTCGTCATCTATGCACAGCTGCTCGCATTCTTTGTGTTCTTCACGTGCATGCGCTGCTGCAGCTGTCGGAGACGGGCAGGCGCACGGACAGATGAGAAGCAGAAGACACAGTGACTTGCACAGTTGCCCACCGCGCAGTACGAGGCGCTTGTCCACAATAGGCTTGGGCGAACGCCGAGACGAAGTCTGACGCATCGGGCCACTTAGACTTAAACTTAAACTTGTTGGGAGTGCCACGGCTCCCATGTACAGACAGGCTGTGAAGCTTGAAAGATCTTGAAAGAGTGATGGGTTTCTGGCTTCGAAGGTGCCGAAAGACCGACAGCTGTCACGCAGCTGTGCGGTCCCATGGACTTCGCAGCAAAAGAACTCTTTGAATTGAGAGATCCGGTTGGCCAACCTCTCAGCCATGTACAGCAAACAAAGGCCGAGGATGGCAGAATGCTGCACGGGGTCGGATGCCTTCTGTTTGGGTACCACTATCATCGAGCACCTGGAACTCCGACTTTGTGCGAACGGATCGTATGTTGAAGTTTTGTATTTAAGGACGGGCTCGTCTGCATAGGAAGCGACCCGAGTACGATGTGCACATGCCGCGTCGAGGGGGCAAAAT